TAGGTGGAGTAAATGATCAGAGCTAGCAATTTTAGAAATATCTAGTTGTATGGTAGTTGCCTTTGGTGCCCTCCACTCTTTATTCTTTTCGGTTTATAATCCAAGCAAACATGCATCTGTACATAAAATTTGGAGTTAGATACTTGTTCTAAGTTGAATCAGAGGTAGATTGACAATGCTGGTGTTACTTCAGGATCTATTGTTACACACTGCTAACTAGCTCAGGCGTGTAAGATGCTCAAATTGACTGTTTTTAAGGCCAATCCTTGTGTTAACCATTTCTTCAGCATATAACTAGGAGTGTACTTAACTGAAGCTCATAAAAAATCAGAAAAATTGTAATGTGCCATAAATATAACCTTTTTTTATCATAAAACTATTCCTTTGATGTGTGCCCATATCTCACTCTACTATTACAATATTACTAATGGCGGAACACCTGCGAATAATTGTTTGAAACTTTTTAGTCTCCTCAGAAAGCAGTAAATATTACTCCATCCAATTCATTCTTAGTTTTCTCGTATTTACAATTATTATTTTGCAGTTTGGAATAATTTTTCCGCGTACTGAAACCGTTTTGAACTTTATGGTGTCTGCAATCTATGACTTATTTTCAGATCAATTTTGATTGAGAAGCCTAATTATCCTTTCTCTATATAAATGCTCCCAGGTTGCATTCTTTTCCACTTCATTCCTCCCAACAGGACATAGTAAAACGTAATCATGGGAGAGATGATTGGTGGGCAGGGGCTGCTCCTTCAGGACCTTTTATTTATACACCTTTCAGCAAAGGGGAGGCGAATCAAAGCAGTAAGCAGGAGCTTATATGGGTTGGAGGTGAAGCAGTACAAGTGTTGGTGGAGTTGGCAAATCCTTGTGGCTTTGATTTGAAGGTAGATAGTATATATCTATCTGTGCATTCGGGGAATTTTGATGCTTTTCCCATCAGTGTTAGTCTGCCTCCTAATTCTTCCAAAGTGATTGCATTAGCTGGAATTCCTACCGAAGTAGGTTCACTGAAAATTCCGGGATGTATTGTTCATTGTTTTGGTGTTATCACTGAACATTATTTTAAGGATGTGGATAATCTTCTCGTGGGAGCGGCTCAAGGACTTGTGCTGTCTGATCCTTTCCGCTGTTGTGGGTCACCAAAGTTGAAAAATGTTACGGTTCCAAATATTTCAGTGGTTCCACCTTTGCCATTGCTTATATCACGTGTTGTGGGTAGTGATGGTGCTATAATTTTATATGAAGGCGAGATTCGTGAAGTGCAGATAAGTTTGGCAAATGCCGGCACCGTGCCAATTGAGCAAGCCCACATCTCATTATCTGGAAAAAATCAAGACTCTATCCAGTCAATTGCTTATGAAACCTTGAAGTCTTCCCTTCCTTTGAAGCCCGGTGCTGAAGTGAGAATACCTGTCACCTTAAAGGCTTGGCAGCTTGGACTTTCGGATCTGGATGCTGCACCTGGCAAGAACATATCTGGAAGCACTGGGAGGCAACTCAAGGATGGAAGCAGCCCTGTGCTGCTGATCCACTATGCAGGTAAGCATTCAACTTCTGATTGTTCCAAGGTATGCGATAGACTAGGAAAATGAAGCATTATCGTTGAACTTCGATGCTGCATCCTGGATTTATGATATGGACATATGTCAGTGCAACCAGATGGAAAATCTCTGTGTTCTCTTGGAGCCCCTCTTTTTTGTGTTGCTTTCCGCACCATTATGCATGGTCCCTTTTTTTCCCCTTCTTTTCCATATGAGTTAGCACTTACACCACTGCGTGTGGATTTGGATATGGAGGTTAGCGCCACTATTCTTTTTATTTTGTGCATAGCCACTTTTGCAATGTGAAAGGGTCAGACTGGTAGTGATCTTCTGCACCAACATAAGAGGGATCATATTCCTTTAGGATACAATTGAGAGAGATCAAATGTTAGGGACCAAATCAAAAATTGGGTCGTAAAATTGGGAACATAAAACAGAAATTACTCTATGAGTATACGGAGAATATTTCTGCACAATGCTAGGAGACCATGTAAAATGATGGAAGTGTAGAACGTCAATTAGTTGGTCATGACATGATTGCATGCCAAGGAGGTTTAGTAAGAGAAAGTGTGCTACGTGGGATGAGATTTTAATTGTTTTCGTTTTGTTTCTGTTGGTTGCACCGGCATCCTGTCAAGTTTCAGCTATAGAAGCAGTCGAAAGAGAAATGGGTAGCAAGAAATGTAATAGCTTCATGCTTGTTCATGATTTAGACTATTGTTTACCTGCCAATATTTCATTATTATTTATTAATTTTTGGGTTCTCTGATTGTATTCAGTTGGATTTCATGTCTTTTTGTTTTGTTTAATGATCTGCTACTCTTGTTGTTCACTAGCTCATCCTGGTTATTTAGATTCTCTAACTGGTATTTGGAGTTGGGTTTCATGAAAATCTTTCTATAGTGACTGATCTGCTTCTCTTATCAGGTCCAGTTGCTTATTCTGGAGATGCATCAACAAATGGATCTGTTCCTCCTGGTAGGCGCTTGGTCGTTCCCCTGAACATATGTGTTTTGCAGGGTTTATCTCTTGTGAAAGCTCGTTTGTTATCTATGGAGATCCCTGCTCACGTGGGGGATAATCATTCAAAAATTCAAGTGGAAACCAGCTCCACCGTAGAATCCCCTCGTACTGATAGGTTCATGAAAATTGATCCTTACAGAGGAAGTTGGGGCCTGCGCTTCCTCGAGCTGGAGTTATCCAATCCAACTGATGTTGTCTTTGAGATTGGCGTGTCTGTTAATATGGAGGATTCTAACGATGAGGAGAATCCTGAGTATGATTATCCCAAAACTAGGATTGACCGAGATTACACTGCCAGGGTGTTAATACCATTAGAACATTTTAAGTTACCTGTTCTTGATGGTTCTTTCCTGGTTAAGGAGTCCCAAATGAATGGGACCACTAGTAGAAGATCGAGCTTCTCGGAGAAAAGTAGCAAAGCTGAACTTAATGCTTCCATCAAGAATTTAATCTCTAGAATCAAAGTCAGGTGGCAATCCGGCCGAAACAATTCAGGAGAACTAAACATAAAAGATGCAATACAGGCTGCCTTACAATCATCCATGATGGATGTACTACTACCAGATCCATTGACCTTTGGGTTTAGGTGTGGCAAAAATACTTTACAAGAATTTTCTGAACTTAATTTGGATGAAGAATCTGATATTCAGGGTACACGTAAAGGTTCATTAAGAGCTCATGACATGACACCGATAGAAGTGCTGGTACGCAATAATACCAAGGAAATGATTAAAGTCAGTCTTAGCATCACATGCAGAGATATAGCTGGGGAGAACTGCGTCGAGGGTGATAAAGCGACAGTGTTATGGGCAGGTGCTAGTCTAAAACATTACTTCTCTCCCTTTTCCATGTTCTTATTTAAGTTGAACTACCACTGTAGTTTATAGTGCTATTTCAGTAACTTATGTAATTATTTTTGAGTAGTCCCATCAATGAGGAAAGTTTTCATTATCTGCCTTGTTTTTTTTATGAATGCTGCCTTCACTCTACAAAAATTAAGAGAGCAACTATACACATGATTTGCAAATGAAGGCCTATATAACTCTTGATCTGATATGTGTATGGTTTCTTGATCTTTTTTAGGTGTTCTCAGTGGTGTCACCATGGAGGTACCTCCACTGAAGGAATATAGACATTCGTTCTCCTTGTATTTCCTGGTTCCTGGTGAGTACACACTATTAGCTGCTGCTGTGATCGATGATGCTAATGAAATGCTGCGAGCCAGAGCAAGAGCTAATTCATGCGATGAGTCCATATTTTGTCGCGGGCCACCATTCCATATCCGAGTGGAGGGGACTATCTGATGTCCTTGTTGAAGTGTCTATCCTTTACTAAACCAGGTGAATTTGCCATCGTGAGCCATAACTATATGTAGAGTATACCTTGTTATTTGTACTTGGCATTTCTCGTCATTCCTATTTATGGATTTTCATTGTGCTTAGGAGAAAACTGTATCACTCAGTTTTCAATTGATCTACAATAGGATTCCCTGTACAGCGATTGTAAAACTGTACCGGACACTGAACAGCTGGACATTTTTCCCTGCAGTTTAGAGCTTTATGATTTTGTTGCCTATGAATTTTTTTAATGGTCTTAAAGTGGACGCTTCTACTGTGAACTGTGCGCTAGTTGTTCATTTTGTCTTTTGGAGTGGGGCACTAATGAGTGTACGTGGTACCATGAATTTCCGCTTTGATCCCACAGATTCTATTGATTTTTGGACCATCAAATTTGTTTCAATTTCATGATTTTTTAATGCATATCCTTTTTCTTCTTACTCCTTTTTTAATGAGTTTGTTCTAGAGTTGCGCACGTTCTATCTCTATTTTAGCACACATATTCCTTTTTTCTTTTATTTTTTTGGGGAAAGGGTATGATTTACATCTTCTTTTGTTCTTTTAAATCCAATTATCAGTGCTGTAAGCTGGCTGTGACAGTGAAATTTCGGGGCCTTTTTTTCATTTTCAGTTCTGTTTATTTCTGATGTTTAAACAAAAAAAAATTCTAAATCACAACTTAATTCTTTGTGCTTCACCTCAAGGCAGTGAAATAGTTTGCCAGGTCTCATTTTATATTCCGCCGTCTTTCATGTTCTAATAGTCATTCATTTGACGTTGCTGAGCTCGACTAGTAAATAATTTGATTGGAAAAGCAGATCAAAGATGCGTAATTAAAAAAGATCCCTAACATGTATGAAAGAGATATAGAAAAATGGAAGCCATTGAACTTCCTTAAGTTCAACAATCATCCGCTCAGGACTCAAACTTTTGGCCTGCTGCTTAGAAGTAGATGTGCCTCACTGAGCAAGCCTCAAGTCACATGCACTAGCACTAATCTAGCAGACCATTCCCGTGGGGTTCTTATTTGTACAAAATAGCAGAAGTGTGGCATTGTGATCATTACATTATTGGTCGAAGAGAACAAGAGTCATTGACTAGTGTCATTAGTCATGGTGCCCATCCATGAAGGTGGCAACATTCCAGTCTGTTCTTGAACAGTCTTGAACAATGGTGGCAATGTTTTGTAGATGCCAGCAACTTCTTTTAAGGCATTTCCACCTCCTGCTGCTGCCTCAGATCCTCCATTTGTCCAAATGCTGATTTTGGGTTGTAGGCCATGGATAGCCTCAGCATTAATCTTGGCAAGTTCTTGAAACATTCCACCACTTATCATTAAGTAATCCCTTAGAGCACCATAGTTTCCACCCAAAGCTTCTAAGAGAGAGTGCAAATAGGTGCCTTGAGCTTCTGCTAGAGCTTTAAGTCCTTCTGCTTCCTTCATTTTTGCATATAAATCTCCATCAATGATCTGTTTACGACTGTAGAAATCAGCTTCTGCAATTGCTTTCTGTGCTGCTGCTTCTTTCTCCTTTTCATAGAGATATATGCTTCTGCTTCTTTTTGTTTCTTGTAGAGCTCCCAATTTGCCTCTTGGACCTTTAGAAAATGAGGCATTAGAAGCTTCATAGTTTCGGCTTTTTTTTTCTTTTTAGTTTTATGCACTGACTGTGATATTTCTTACAAGCAGAAAATGCGAGGTACTTTGAATGTGATATTTCTTTATGGAGGGGCAGTATATGGCGCTTGAAAACGATCTTCAAAATAACAATTAATTAAGCTGTACTACAGTTTCATAGCAATTTTGGATATTATCAACATTAGGAAAAAGTGTAAATTGCGTGGTAACCTAATGAGTAGGTTATCTTTTGATATATTAATCGTGGTCGACGTAGTAGTTATATATTACCAAGACTAATCGGTTAATAGTATTAGTGAGATTACTCAACTCTCTATGTGTATTTCCTGTTTAACCATTCAGTGTCCCAAATATACTGGCCCGACTAACACAATTTTGCTGCTCCTTGACAAAACGTTCTCCACTCCTAAGACTTGAATTTGAAACCTTAGGTTAAGAGTAAAGTAATTTTAACCATACCACACAGGCACACACACCCGATAGTTTTGTGGATTCAACTTGTATTACCTTTGCTTATCCTTCCTTTCTTCTCTCCCGTTTCTCTGATGTAATTAAAATAATTTTTTTTAAAAGAGGAAGAGGAAAAAGAAAGAGAGAAAAAATTATGATTGACAAAGTAAACTATATACACCATTACCATATCGAGAGAACTATTATTGCACTGACCCAGTCTCCTTCTCTGTCCCCTGCGTACTCATAAATTCCCCTTGACGTAGTTGACGACTTACTCTTCTAAGGATTAATTATGCTTTATAAAATATATTTTCTCATCTAACTTTCTGTAGGCTAACAATTTATAGATTCCTTATTCAAGGAAAAGCACATGAGGATTTAGTTTCAGTAAGTATACTCAAAGAAATTTTGCTTAATTTGCCTTGGATTGTCTATACAAAAGATGAGATATTAGACAAATTAGAGAACTCAAGATTTTCAATCATCCCCAAATGCTTCATTTGTCTGTTAATATTTTAATTTTTTCATTATCGTCATCAATAATCATTATTATTTGTTTGACCAAAAATATAGATTTTGGTTCAACAAATTAGATTTATATAGATGAGGATTAATCTTGGTTAATAATAATATTCTAAAAAGAAATTCTCGGTAGTGTGATAAATAGAGTGCAGATCTGTTCCTAAAGCTATGACGGTGCACAACAATCACTATTTAAGAACCCAAATAGAAGTAATGTCGCATTAAATAGTGATGAACAACAATAAATGACATTTGTGTAAATAAATGCGAAGGAGTCACACGAGAAAGGATGAGATCAATGAATATTCTTTCTAACGATTGAGAATGATGGATAAACCTTTGAGTGAAAAGTGTAAGCAAGAATCTTAGTGAAAAGGTTATTTTTGTGTGCTTGTGATGAGACTAGATTCTCTCTCTCTCTCTCTGAAGCGAAAGTATATTTTACAAAATGAATATTTCATGTCCCCTATCATTGTGTCTCTTTCTATTTATATGGAACATATTCCTAGAAACCTTAATAGTACAAGTGCAGAGAATATCTACTAGAATATGCTCTTTCATGTCCTATCTTGAAACTAGTCATTATAACTCTGTCAAACGTACACGACCCCAGCCTTGACTATTGACGACTCCTCGACTTCTATCTTTGTTGACTCTTCGACCACGACCTTCATTGTTGATTAGATCACTTCGACTCGTGGCGGCCTGGGAATGTTTCACCAATGCCATTTTGACTTATATTCTAGAGAAATTTTGACCCATACACTATTATCCTTGTTTCTATTGTTAACGACGCTGTCGTCCTTATTGTTATGATTATCATTATCTTCGTGTTGCTTTCATCTTTATTAGTTATTAGATAATTTCTCAAAAGTAAAAGACATATTAATTTTCTTATTAATGAATAGAAACACAATAATTGAAATTATTTACCTCGAAAATACGAGTAATAATTAAATTTGATTTATAGTTTTAAAGATACATGATTTAGTTCAATACTAACGAATAATCAAGAAGTATAACGTATAAATGAAAGAAATGAATAAATCAAACCAGTGTTGCTAGGCAGTATCGACCTCGAGATGGATCAAGAACAATAAAGCAAGAATAATAAAGCTAAAGGACAATTCTGATGAACAATGAGCGAGAGAAGTAAGAGAGTATATTCTTTGCCAATGATTAGATGATGTTTACAAATGATTGGGGTTCCCTTTATATAATAGGGGAGCCCTAAATAAGGTACAATTCTATTTACAGTAAAGAATCTGGACAGCTGTCTAACCGTCTAATACGGATTCGTACAAATTTATTCCGGGATTTGCGCCATGATCTTGGGGACGTGGCAAGAATCTTTCTATTCTGTTACAAATCCATAACGACATTATCTCGAGGCCAGTCATATTAGGCTTTGACGTTCCTCGAACACTTGGTTCTTCGAGCCTTGTACTGTGACATCGAGCTCGATCCCGGTCTATCGAGCTCGAACTTGATCCATCCTGAACTCGGACTTAAGGCGACCCCTCAAGCTCGGGAAATTGGGCATACCCGATTTTGACCGTATAAAAATAGTCCCCGCGTTTCTTAGAGTAAGATGATAAGAAACGATATGAACCTCGATTTTGCGGAGTCTCTGACGATGATATCATTCCCGTTACGTAGGCGCTCGAAGTGACCAAAATGTCCCGTCGGTTTGCTTTCCAAAAATATTAAATGCAATCCAGTAATGGCCGGCCACTAACGCCGCCGAACCATTGCCGCTCATCTATAAGTACGGGGATCCTTATTTGAATTTGGAACTTTACTTCTTCATTACATTCACTCTGATCCTCTTTTCTCTTCATCTCTTTTTCTCATCATCTGCTTCCACCGCCCTTTAAGTGTCGGAAAATGCCAAGTTCCCAGAAAACATCACATTACGCTACCGTCTACATCTCTTAATCTTGAAATCATGGAAAAAACCTCTAAAATGGTTCCCCAAAAAGAAAAGGGTTCTTCCTCCCATCCGGCCGGTGACAAAGCGCCGACCCTTCACGAGATCGTTCCCATCGCCTGCCTCATAAAGAAAGACATCGACGTAGAAAACCCTCATGCAGTTCCTGGTCGATGTAACATGCCTTGAGGTATATCTGTTCGATAATGGAGAAACACCTCGAGGCCGTGAAAAAAGATTGCGGTTGGGGGGATAAGGTTGTGGTGCAGATCCCGACCCCCGACGAGAATGTCACCATCGACGTGGAGGGGTTTCTGAGTGTTTACACTTACCCTTCACACTGGGCTCTCTCGATCCGCCCGTGATTGATTTCTGCAAAAGATATCAAGTCACCCATGGCCAGATTCATCCCTTATTTTGGCGCATAGTAATCATGCTCCGTAATTTCTCTAGAAAAGCTAAGGGACTGGAGTTTACCCTCATTCACCTTATCCGATTATATCGGCCTCAACTTTTCCGAGGTCTAACCAAGCTCCAATGCTGATCGAGCAAAGCCTTCTTTGCTAGCAATGAAGAGGCCAAAGATCGAGGCTGGATGAGCCGGTTCATCCAAGTGAGGACCTCGGACATCATCCCCAAGGATAAAATTCCGCTTTTGGAGAAATGGAATCATGAGCGTAAGTGAAGTCTTTCCCTCAGTGTTTTCTTATACCATGTTCCTTCGTTGTGTGGTGCTTGTATCCTTTTTGCAACCGAAGTGTGGATGTCCCATGTGATTCCTGACCTTGAAGACTAGGTTCAGAAGTTAGCCGCGACCTCTTCGTATGACGAACGCAAGTGGCGTGACTTATTGAGGGGCAAATGGGAAGCAAAAAATCATGGTGAGTGTTTGTAAGCCTTTTGACGCTTTCCTCTTTTACTGTAGCCATTGGTTTCCTCATGCTCGTTTTTTGATTTATGTAGGCCTCGGATATTTTTCCGAGATGAGGCCAGCCCCTCCTGGAGAAGAGACCAAGTCCCCGGTTCCTAAATTGGGGAAGGATAACAAGAGGAAAATGGCTTCAAAGCCCGAAGATCTTCAAGACAAGAAAGCCCTGCTTGAAGGTTAAAGAAAAACCTCATTCACGTGGAAGTAGATTCGGTCCACCAATTTATGGATGATGAAGAAGATGAGGGTGAGAATCAGCATTATTGATCCGGACTAGGAAACTCGTCGAGGCCGCCAAGCCCTTTTAGCTGGAGTCCTTACCTCGTGGTGAGGAAATTCCGAAGAAAGATTCGGGGGAAGCCCCCGAGTCCCCTGAAGTCGAGGTTATTCCTCCGCCTTCCACAAGTATACCGAGGGAGGCAAGAGCTGAAAATATCGACACCAATCAGAGCGCCCCGAGTGAAGAGCTCGGGGCCGTGACAATAAGTCACTCCCCTTCTTTACCATCTTATTCCGAGGAGGCAATAAAAGACACTCGAGCTCTGCGAACGCCCGACCCGAGCAAAGTCCTAGAAGAATATCCTTTTCAGGATTGTTTCACTGGGGTCGATGACGCCGCCAACCTTAATGATGCATCCACCTTCTTCGAGGAGGCTCATCGTCTCTTTTCTCGGGTAAATACTAACTTTTATTTGTTATAATTTTTCTTTCCTTTCCCCTTTTCTTGACTGATATTCCTTCGTTTTATGCGTATACCATCATTAAGTTCAAGGTTGAGCTGAGCCAATGTGAGGCCGAGCTCAGGAAGGCTTCGGATGAAGGGAAGGCCATGAGGCTCCTTTGTAGCCAAAAGGAGGAGGAGCTCAAGGACCTTCGGGTTGATTTGGCCAAAGCTCGAAAAAACGAGGCCGGGCTAGACAAGCATGTAACCGTGATTTTGACAAAGTATGGTCTTCTTGGGCTTACTGTGGAGGCTAGCACTTCAATGTCTCAGCTGCAGCAAAAGTTAGAGGTAATTGGGAAACTTCGGGGCGAGGTCGATCAGGTAAAGGCTGACTGCCACCGAGAGAAGGAGAACATGGATCGGCTTGCTGCTGACAAAGAGGCTGCTCAAGCCCAACTGGCCTCGGGCGAGACTCAGCTCCGAGGTATCAAAGTGAAAAACCTTGCCCAGGCCAAGAAAATTGAGGAGCTCGAGACAAAACTTGCTGAGGCCGGGGCCGGGGCTGAGGTTGCTGAAGCCAAGGTTGAAATAAAGAAGACGAAGGCCACAGTTGATAAGACTATCGCCGTATACCTAAGGGATGCCGAAGCTATTCAGCAGAGCTAAAGGAGGCCTCCGATTGGGAGAAGCGGGTCAGTGATTTGGCCAAGTGTTAGGTCCGGAGGGAGACCCTCGAAGAAATTCAAGCTCGAGGTTTTGACCTCACCAATGAGATCGCCCAAGCAAAAGCACTTGAGGCCGATGCCAAGTTCCTCGTTTCCTCCGATGATGAAGATTCTGTTAGCGGCTTTGAGGGTGAGGGAGACGAGGAGGGATCTCCGAGGAGAAGGTTCCCGAAGATGCGGCTCCCGAGGATCTGCCCTCCAAAGTAGATTTGGTCCTTAGGCTTTCGTTTTTGTTTCTTTGTTTTTGTATAGGGTTCCTCGTGGTACTGTAAATACCCTTTTATAAATATAAAGAATTTCCTTTGCTTCTTCTACGATGTGTATTGAATTCCGCTTGTCTTTATTTTGTGGAAGATTTTGATAACTTCAATGATCATGTGAACGTTGGCTCGGATTTTGAATAGTATAAACCCTTGGGTTTTTTAATAATCAATGGACGATCTTTGAACTTATAATAGAATACCTCTTAAGGTTTTTGTTAATCCTCGAGCTATGCCCTGGTTAATTTGATGCGAGCTCGGGACTCTTGGGTCTGAGCTGAGTGAGAGAGAGCCCTTAGTCCTTTTTATATCGGCCCTTACGCTCTTTAGATCGGCCATTAGGCTCTTTTAGGTCGGTCCTTAGGCTCTTTAAGTTGGTCCAATTCGGCTTCCAAAGCGCCTATAATTTTTCCCTCTTGTAGGCTAAAAGACTTAGTGAAGTTTTTTTTATGCCTTAGCATGTATTTTTTGTACCCATTGGGTTTTTTTGAAGGTTCGACCGAACGGAACCTTATTTGTAATTTGTTTGTGTAACGATAATCGAATACCTCTTGAGGCTTTTTTGAAGGCTGGTGTTATCGAAGCCTTAAAATTATTCGAGGGCTGATTTTATTGAAGCCCTTTATCATTTGCTTTTGCCGAGGGTAGCCTGATTTAACTGGTTTTTCAAAGTGTTTGAAGGCCTTTAATTTATGGCGGAAGTCGGACGTCTTCGAGCCGCATTATTTAGGCCGTAGCCTTTTATATGGATGTAGTCTTTAATATGGCCGTAGCCTTTAACGTGGCCGTAGCCTTCGGGTATGTCTCTTGGACTTGTTTCCTAATAACCTTTCGAACTTGTTCGAAAGGTTAGTCCCCGAGTATGATGGCCTTGTCCTTTATATCAAGCGGATGCCTCTTTGAGGTCTTATGAATTTGAGTTTTCGATGACTCAGATGTGTTGACTGTCGATGACAGTCCCCGAGTTTTTGTGGTGTATTTACATTCTGGCCCTTGAGCCGTTTCTCATAGAATTATAAGTATGAAGCTCGTATAATAATAGTCTTCTTTGAGACACAAAGCGTTTTGATATAAAAAAGAATGCTTCTTTGAATAATTGATACATGCGTACATGTTTTGCCGTTGGGGCTCGACTATTCTACATGGACATGGTTCATCTAGCCGTTTGGTCCATTATAAAGTTTTCCTATCGAGGCCCTCTTTGGCATGAAGTATTTTCCTC